AAACAACCTACGGCTTGTTGTATCCAAGTCCACTACCAAGGAAACTCCTGCCTCTTCTTCTTTGGTAGACGAATTTGGCGTTTCGCGGGAAACCTTTTACTGAATTCTTGGCTATCTAACACTATCCTTAGCTACGATACAATTATTGAGTGGAACTCTGGTAGTATAGCAAATACCCCATCCTAGATTAACTTCACTGCACTTGGTCTACATTCTAAACTCGCTTGTCTTTTATTCAAAAGCTTTGCAGTTAGTGTCTGCTTTCGTTTTCGGTGCTCCTGTCGGGTTATTCCTTAGCGTCAATTGAGTCAGCTAAAATGCATGCTGGTTTGGCAGCTGGCATCTCCATCTCAAACTGCAGTGGAAGGCACTGCATGTCGGTTTTTTACTCCCCACCGGCTGCGGGTTTACTTGATTTTAACATTTTTCTTTTGCTGTTATTTCCAATTTCGCTTTACTAACTGCTTACGTGGCTCGTAGTCCACGTAGTGCGCAACTCGCCGTTCTCTTGGCTCTTTGTAACTATGAAGTGTACCTTTTATTTAAGTTGTTGGGCTTTTTGTTTTAGGAGTCCAAGCGTGCACAATTCTCTCTCCGAGAATTGTTGATTTGATCTTAGAACACTATGGAGGACGTTTTGATCTTGCCCTCTTGATCTTTTTCTTGTTGGTTCAAAGTACATTTGTTTATCTGATCACACGCGTTATTTGGTCTGATTGTGGGAATATGCTTTCAACGTTAGCCAACTATTTTCGGCTTCAGTGATCTGCCATGATCTGATGACGTCGGATTTCTAATTCAAGCTATAGATTGGTTTATATATCTTTATCTTGTCAATGTCACTGACAGTTTAAAATATTTGTCGTATTCGATAATGGTGCGGTTTACTGCTGAGAGCGTTTTTGTTCTAATAGCCCTGAGATTTTTGTATCCTTCAAACTTTAACGCGGGAAGGAACTAAACTAGGTGCGGCTGCTTAGTTTTCAAATGTTTGTTTGGCTAGGGCATTTTGACTGACTTTCGTTTTCACCTTCCTATCTTGCGCACAATTTCCTCCCACAAGAGACAGTTTTTCTCATAAAAATCCTACAAATTACATTCTATCTTTTGAATTCTGCACTATGCCTTAGGAGTATTTTCACTGACTGCTCTTTTTGCGCAGTTATACCTGTCAGCTCGTGTTAACTGACATCGCCACGTGTGATTGTATAACTTGGAACAAACGAGTAGTCGCCTACAATTATGTAAACAACTTCTTTTGAAATGTTCTTCTGTACTGATGCATTTCTTCACTAATGTGCACCAATAGGGAATTTAAAGGCGTTTGCCTCTATTTCCCATGATAAATTTAACCTTTCCTTCACTGCTCCCAATCTCTATTAGAATCCCCAGTCAGAACACCGCTGCAATGGAGGATCCTTCGTGCACTGGTGAGGTCAGTGAATTTCTCTCCGAAAGTGCCTCACTGAAACAGCAGACTTCAGTTGCTGCCTCTGGTGCCTCTGCTCGCTCCTCCTCTCGACCCACTGGCCGCCGTCCAGTTCTGCTCGCCAGCGTGAC